GTTTACTCACACATTCTTGAGTTTGAGCTGTATTATTTTGCCACTAGAGTTGCTATTAGGGGTGTGCAATTCGGCAAAAACACATGCCATTTTTGGTGTCCGGTTTTTGGTTGTCCCCTTGTTCTGTTTTAGGGAACTTCACAAATTCAGGAGGGATTTCTGTTTTCATGCTGGAAAAATTCAGTCCATTGACACAATTGGGGAAACTTTATAGCAGTGGTTCTAGAGGGTGATTTCTCTGTCATTTCTGGGCCTATGAGCATGTAACTCACCTCACTTATAGGCCATATCTTCTACTGAAAGTCTGATAAGTTTCAGAACATTTCACCAATCTACTATTTTTTGTAATTTTTTTAAAAATTACATTAACATTTTTAAAAAAAACACAAAAGGAGGTTCTGGGAAATGAAGTCCCAAGCACACATCACAAGAGGGGAGGAGAATGGATGGACACAGTCAACCAGGCCTCTGACTGGCTGAGAAAGAAAGTGAGAAACACACACACACACACAGAAACTTCAACTCCCATCATGCCCTGGGAGGGAGCACAAGGCTCCTTCAATGCTTAGCCACGCAAAGTGCTGCTGGGAAAGCGAGTTCCCATTTATCTCAAGCAGGGTCATGGGGGGGGGGGGCTTCAGGAAGGGATGGAAGAGCCTGCTGGGGAAGAAAGCAAAGGAGGAGCCACAGCTTTCCTTATTAGTGAAGCTGCCCTGATCACATGCCTCTGCCTCCACATCTGGTAGAGTACAGCAAAGCCCCATTGGTCCCCATTATTAGCTCCCATCAGCCAAAAAGACATGCGAGTGTGGAGAAGAGCAAACCACTGACCACCTGCTGCAATGCAACCTGAGCCCTGCACGATGGAGGACCTTCTTGCGGCAACACCAGAGGCACTCCAAGTGGCCAGATACTGGTCAAAGGACATTTAATCAGCTACCAAGTTTGCAAAAATTGTGTGTTTTTTATATGTTTGTTTGTTTTGTTCTGTTAGAAATGTAATACAATGTTCTGGTTGCGGATGACACAATAAATAAATAAATTAAAAAAGCCAAAAAAAAAAATCAGCTTCTGTGAGCTGTACTGGCTAAGGCTTTGACTGCCCTGCACCAAGCTCATTTTCATGCATTCAGCAACCGCATCCACTGAATCATTCGAATCTGGTAAACAAACACACCCCTAGTTGCTATTATTTGTAAGTGCAAATGTGGAGTTCATTTCCAAAACATACCAAACCCATCTGAACAAAGTTTACAGGAATTAAAAATATCTTTTCCTATAAAATCCATTTTTTCAATACCTGTACTGAAGTGATTTGATACATTCTGATAGTTTTGATATGTACATAATATTCTATTCCTAGCCAACAATGTACTGCCACCTATAACTGATTTTTCAATTGCTTGGATTTGATGCCTTTTGGAAACAAACTCCACAAAATATTATATTTTTAAAATATTTATTATTTTTGGAGAAGAACCCTGAAGTTGAAATTACTTTTAGGCAGTAGGAAAGTTAAAAAACAGAAGACACAATCTGATGCATATGCTTGTTGAATTATTTTTATGCTACAAACCAGGCCTGGGCAAACTTCGGCCCTCCAGGCATTTTGGCCTTCAACTCCCACAATTCCTAACAGTCAGGTTGTTGAGAATTGCGGGAGTTAAAGTCCAAAACACCTGGAAGGCCAACGTTTGTCCATGCCTGGTTTTATTAAACCATAATGGGAAAATAGTGGTCGTAAAAGGGAGCTAAGAAATTGATACCTTAAATAAAGAAACATGAGTAGCATGAATCCAAAAGTGGGTAATCTTGCACAGTTAGAAAAATAGAAATATGTCTCTTTCAATTCTTGCATGTTTTGCCAGTGTTACTCTGTATTTAAGCAAGCAAATGCTTATTAGCACTGGCAACCCTTTCTGTGATATCAGGGGCTGGCAATTGCACCTCTAAAATCTAAAGTTTGGTACACCTAATATATGTGACACCCGTTTACAGAGTTTCTATGACAAAGTACATATCTAAGGAAAACTACGAGAGTTTGTATGCATGGATGACACTATTCATAACCTTATCCATAGATTATCTGTTGCTATGTTAAATGTACTAACATCATCAGACAATGATCATGATATTGATGGTGAGTTTTGATTCTTTTCCATTACCCCTTGCATTGATATGTGTGATATTATTATTATATACTAGCCATCCCCTGCCTGAAATTCCTCCTGAAGCCTTCTGCTGGATCCTTCCTATCTAGCAAGTCATTTTTTAAAATCTAAGAATACAATCATCTTCTTTTTTCTGTTTAAATAATGCATGCCTGTCTATGTGCTTTCACTCTTAACCTTGCTACTTCTTAGCAAAATTACCACTTATAATTTTGGCAAAATGTGGTTCTTCGGGACCTGAGGGCAGAAGTCTTGGATGCAGGACAGAAAACAATAATTACTATCTGAGTACAACTCTGGAAATGCCCAGGCAGTGGTTTCAGTCATAATGATTAACAATCAGTTTCTATCTCAAATCTCCCTCATGATTTCCTATCCTTCTTTGTCTTCCACCTTTGCTCCTGCCTCTTCCTTCTCTTGCCATGCACTGCACTTTCTTTTAACTTCCACAACCTTAGCATATTTTAACAATAACAACCAGTTCCAGAGAGCCAGTGCAAACCTATTAAATGACACCATTGAATGTTGTGGAGTGGGCTTATCTGCTCAGATTTAAAATATTACTGTCTATTATGTTGCAACTGATATTACAGACACCAGGAGATATGGAGAACTATTATTTAAAAGGTATTTTTTTTCCTGAGCTTTGATCCTAAACACATGTTGAGCTTGCTGTGTGCAGTGGTGATCCTAGATAAACCATTCTGTAGTGACTATTCTGCCAAGAGGATTGTAGGCAAAAAGATGAGCCCTGTGCACCATGGCTTTCCACATCATTTTATTACCTATTATTTGTTCAGTCATTGTTTGAACTACAAAAAGAAAATTAAGGAAATGTGGAGAAATCTATGAAGGCTATAGTAGGGGAAAATGGCATATTTCCAAGCTCCATAAGACATGCCACATCAAGCAATAACACTCTAATAACATGGGTGAGTGTAATAATAAAAAGTAAGGTCATTTGTATGCAAACAGCAACAAAGAGAAATGGAGACCAATGTGGAGATAGTCCTTGCATTTGTCTCCATTTCTCTAGATTCCACCTTACAACTGCTGTTTTGTCCTAAATGAGTAAGGTGAGCATAAAGAAAATCATACTTCTCTGGGGAAAAGAAAAGGTGAAGTGAAGTTCATGTTTTTGCTGAAGACCTTTTTGTAAGGCCCAATTAAATGAAAGCCACTTGTCTCCTTCAATTTTTCTTTTTTAAACTTTAAGTGTGAAGGGTAGTGCCTGGCACAAGGCAAAACAGCTGAAGGCAGAGCTTCATAGGCAGGGCTAATTAACAGAGTTTGCAGTCTTTTTCTCCTCATCTCAGTGAGCTCAAACACCATTTTACTTTGTTTTGCTCCATTGCTTTTCACAAAATAGATGTAACATCTATTAGGTGCACACATATAGTTCTATGTGTGTTCTTCTCTGTTGAGAAAGTAAAAGGAATTCCATCTCAAACGCATTCAGTTACATGCATTGTTGATGGACTTGATTTGCAGAATATAGAAAGAAAGGGGACAGATATATAGTGGTTCACACTTCCGCCCTTTTTTTGCATCTTTAAAAATCTGTTCATAATGAAAAGTAGTATCCTGTAGCATATTTCATCAGTTTAAAAGTTCTAACGACAGCTATTGGTTGACTTTGATTTCACTTTAGCAGTTTCCAAACCTTTCAGTAATACTACATTTAGGTTCCTCTCTTAAGAGGAGGAGAGGGAGAAGAACAAGGATATTGCATGTCACAGATGGTAACTTAGCTTTGGATATGGCATTTGACACATAGTAGAGTTTGAAAGCAAATCACAGGATCATAAATCTCCAGCTAATATTTCATTTGCCCAGAGTACATAGCTGTAATCACAGAATTTTTCAGAAGTACATCATTAAAGCTAATGAATCTCTTGTCACTTTCGTTCTGATGTATCATTTTTCACAGAGAACAACCCATTTTCTCAATCCATCCCAGAAGAATTGAGGCTTCGTGTATTAGATTTCAAATTCTAATAAAAATGTGCAATTGAAATCTATCTTTCCTTTGTGGCTGCTTTAATAGGAGAAGGCATTATCTGTTATTGGCTGGTGGAAATGATATTTCAGTTAGCTGAAAGTTTGTGACTGTTTAATTTTTTAATTTTATGTAATTCTATACACACTTACAGTAGAGTCTCACTTATCCAACATAAACAGCCCGGCAGAATGTTGGATAAGCAAAAATGTTAGATAATAAAGAGGGATTAAGGAAAAAGCCCATTAAATGTCAAAATACATTATTATTTGACAAAGTATGTACCAAAACATCATGTTTGGCAAAAATTTGACGGAAAAATCTGTTCAATACATGGTAACATTATGTAGTAATTACTGTATTTACGAATTTAGCACCACAACATCACAATGTATTGATCCAGGCAGGCTGCATTGGATAATAAAGAATGTTGGATGAGTGAAGGTTGGATAAGTGAGACTCTACTGTACTTGGAAATAAGGATTTAAACTCAATGCTACTTTCTTCAAAGCAGAGATGTATAAGATGGACTGCACCCAACCATAAGTTTATAGTGTGATGGTGTCATTCACACTCCATGATTACATCACCACATTTGGCTTAAAACTTCCATAGCATTGTCCTATGGAATCTTGGAACAGACCTCAGGAATCCATAGGATTCAGTCATGGTAGTTAAAGTGGAGTCATAGTGTAAAATGGATTTGGAGCAATAGCTGGGTCCAGAATCCCAAAGAACTATTTGAAAGACAGAAATATATCTATCATGGACAGCAGAAGTTTTGCATATGATTTACAACAAACACATCAATAAAAGCAAAGATTAAACTATTTTTAATCAATAAAATTTTATTGTCCGACTTATAAATATTTTTCATTTGTTCCCTATTTACAATTGCAAAATATTTCCAGATATTCTACTATCACTTGTCATTCAGAATCTCTCTATAAATGCTGTGAAAATGTCCTTATGAAAAAAGTCTCTATTGTCAGCCCACAAATCTGACACCCACACACTCACACAAAAAAGATTAAAAGAAGGAAAAAATAATACAGTACAGCAGGCGACATTGCAGACTTTTGCTACACAGTAGCAAGAGGACTGAGTAGAAGATCCCTCCCCCCTCCAAAAATGTCTATGGCGGCAAGCTTTTCAGAATATTTGTTATAGACCAACGCTGGCCAGAGCATTTCTGCAAAACTAACTGAAATCCAAACTCATTATCGCTGTTTTCCTGCAGCTCCAAGCAACGTTTGGATTTTCTGTTCTGGATTGGGCCTCCCTATAAAAGTGAAGAAAGAAAAACATAATTAGTCAAAAGTTATTGACCATATTTCATCACAGCCAATAATCTTCTGATGCTTCTCATTGCCAGATTTATATAGTGCTTCACTATAGAGTGATATCTTGATTTAAGAGTTTAATTTTTTCTATAACTGAGTTCTTAACTCAAAATGCTCTCATCTCACAGTGAATTTCCCATTGAAATGCTATTTATCTGTTCCAGACCCCTGAAACCTCCCCATCCCCATTATAATGTGTTTTTAAATAAGAAAATGTACTTTATAAATAACAAATAATGTATAAATGCATATTTACATGGAACAATAAAAAGAAAAGAGCAACTTTAACATGGTAGAAGCACAAAGTTGTGGCAAGGAAGCACAAAGCACAAATTGAAGAGGCAGAAGCATCATTTTCTTCATACTGTATTCATTCCAGTCTCCTTTGCACACTCTCTCTCTCTGTCTTTATAAAACTAAGCATTTCAGTAATAAAAACCACATAAAATCAACTAACCCAAAGTTCCTCAAAACGGACATCTTTAAATTGACAAGATAATGGTAAAAGGCTTCATAAAATTCCTACAAAATATGACTAAAATGTCCTTTATATGATACATTGAAAAGGAACTGGTAAAGGTTACTTATTGCATCGCTAGAATACCTATATCCCCATGTACTTTCTTAGTTTTGAGGTGTAACTTTGCAACAGTGTCCTTCCAAGGAAAGCATACCTGTAAGAGTGAGCTTAATTACCTATAGCTGGTTAATTCCAAGCTTTGTGGCATTTTACATACAGGCTGGCACCTTGTTAGTCAAGAAGGATATATCTTTTGTGGACATTGCTTTGAGTTACTGCATTTTACTGACCTTTTACTTTTTGAAACTTTTCTATTTTCTTACAAGCATTTATTTCTACTGGCTGTTTTACTAAGCTTCAATAAAAAGGATTGTTTTCTTCACTCAACGTTTGGTGTGTTTTAAAGTCAGAGGGCTTTTCCTGTCCTGGAGTGCAACAGCTGGGCTGGTAGCACAACTGGTTAATGAGCTACAATAAATCACTGCCAAGCAAAAGGTGGCAACTGGGTTGTTGTAGGTTTTTTCAGGCTATATGACCATGTTCTAGAGGCATTTCTCCTGACGTTTCACCTGCATCTATGGCAAGCATCCTCAGAGGTAGTGAGGTCTGTTGGAACTAGGAAAAAGGGTTTATATATCTATGGAATGACCAGGGTGAGACAAAGGACTCTTGTCTGCTGGAGCTAGGTGTGAATGTTTAAACTCTTTTTCCTAGTTCCAACAGACCTCACTACCTCTGAGGATGCTTGCCATAGATACAGGCGAAACATCAGGAGAAATGCCTCTAGAACAAGGCCATATAGCCCGAAAAAACCTACAACAATCCAGTGATTCTAGCCATGAAAGCCTTCGACAATACATTAAAAAGGTGGCAAGTTCAAAGCCCGAGTCAGGGTTGAGGGCCCAACTGTTAACAGCTGTTTAAAAAATAGCTGTTATAAAAAAGAGAGAAATTTCCCAGCTCACTGTCGACCTAAGCAGTTCAAAAACAGCTATGAGCTATGAGTAGAAAAATTAGGGACCACTTAAAGTGGGGAGGCTAATTTATGACACCATAAATATGCCAGAGAAACAAGGTGGAAATACTACAATTAAAAAAAAAAAGGCTCAGCGTCATAGTGGATGAAGCAAGAGCTCCCGCTGTGGCCGAATCGAGCAACCTCCAGGACCCGGTGGAAGAATTGCTTAATGGCCTCTGTCTGTATGTATGTCTTGTATGTCAAAAACGGCACTGAATGTTTGCCATGTATGTGTGTATTGTGATCCACCCTGAGTCCCCTTCAGGGTGAGAAGGGTGGAATATAAACACTGTAAATAAATAAATAAATAAATAAATAAATAAATAATCAACTGAAAAGCATGTTAAACATTCTGGCCAAAATGTTCACCTTTGCATGACTATATATCCCTGCAGTCATGCAAAACACATGATTTCCTTCTCTTCCCCCTTTGTGGACTGTGTGAAACAGCTGATTGGGCAGTCAAAAAAAATGGAGCCACAGACCCATTGGTGGCTAAAAGGAAGCACAATTGGAAAGCAATTAGAACTCCTGTAACCATTGCTTTATTTAGATCTATATAATATTAAACAGAGCTTGAATTTACAGTTGGGTGAAGAGAGAGATAAGAAATCTGATTGTGTGTACATTGGGATCTCCGCATGTGTGCATATGAGGTTCAGTGCATCTTAGAGAGATGGTTTATTAAAAACTTCCACCAAATGTTCCTCTCCACCCTCCATCTTGATCTCCTTCAAAGGAAGATGTGGTTGTAGGTTTGATGGTTGTTTTTATATTGTGTTATGCTATTGTTGTTTAACTATGTTGATCAGGCTTGTCCCCAAGTAAGCCACCCGAAAGTTGTTGTTGTTGTTGTTGTTGTTATTATTGTTATTATTGAGATGTAAGGATGGCAGGGGAGCATTTCCCGGGACTGACAGGTCTGTGTGTGGACCTTCTGTCAGGTCCAAGGATTTTTTTGCCCCAGTTTCAAAACTCGCACTTTGATGCTGTTTGGAAGTGCTCTAGGACTTGGAGGAATGGTTTCAAATTATAGGAAAGGAAATTTCACCTGAACATTAGGAAGAACTTGTTTACTGCAAGAGCTGGAACTCACTGCATTGGAGTGTGGTGGAGGCTCCTTGCTGGATGGCCATCTCTCGGAGGCACTTTGATTGTGCATTTCCTGTATGGTAGTGGGTTTGAATGGATGGCTCATGTGGCCTCTTCCAACTCTATAATTCTATGGCATGATATATAGCTCTCTTCTGAGCCCAGTTCTTCTGAGACCTTTTTATTTAAACAAGTATTTGAAGATTAATGGGTCATGCAAAAGGATTTTAATAGTATGTGTATGCTGCATTTTTATCTTTATAGCAGTGTCTTTCAAATGATTTTATGCTGTCTTAAATTATGAGTATTTTATATGAACACAGGGGCCATTGCGATAATGACAGTTGCAGCTAAAAAGACCAGTTGGAGCAGACTAGTTTTGACATTTCTCAGTGTGTCTCTAGAAACAGGACAATATTGCATTTGTGAAGAGTTGGGGTCCCTTCTCCAGCATCATAATCAGCAAATGCACAGCTGACTAAATCGGATGAGAGATCTGAACAGTCATACTGTAATCCACTCAGACTGATCCAGAGATCAGAGTCGTGTCAACTCATCACCAGTCTGTAGTACACCATTCAGGTTTACAGGGGCTCAACATACAATATTTATCACACTGCTATACCAAGTAATAGCTCATGATAAACCGATAATAACAAGAGACCTGCATCTTACATCAATAATAAAGGAACTTCCTTGTGCTAGAGAACAAATACCATTTCAGAGACATTCTTGCTCTTCACATTCCAAGTGGGCAAGGCCAAATGCCAAAGGCTGAGTCAAAAAATGCCAGCATATTGTTTGTAACTTAAAGCTTTTACTGCTAGTAACAAGGTCTGAAGAGAGATGTTTAACCTTTTAGGATCAGAAAAGGTGCATACAAATGAGAAACCAGGGCACAATGGCCCAGAGGGCTTGATTCTGTTCAAGGACATGGGGTTTCTCACAAACAGCAGACTTTTATAGAAGCTTAGAATCACAGTGTGGCAAGGAACCAGAGGGGCCATCCAATCCAAACATTCGCTATGCAAGCCCTCCCAAAAGTTGCAATCCAAATGTTGCTATCCAATCTCTCTATAACAGTGGCTCCCTCCTCCCCCAAGCTTTCCCTCCTCTTTTCTATGGCTCTAAAAGAAAGACCTGAAAAAAAAATAGTATCCATCACTCTTCCTTTTATGAAAAACAATGGGACTCATACACCAAAACAGTTTCAATTCACCATCACAGATGACTGACCTCTTTTCAATTAAATGAACCTGGCCAGATTCATCTTTTGCTTCATTGAAGTAACATGTGTTGAAACTGATTTGAATAATACTGAAAGATCATGGTCGTGATGGGACTATGATGACTCTCCTTTATGGAAGGAGCTTTCCCATAACCATAAGGTCTGAAACCTGAGAGGAAAGCACCTTCTGTGCACTGCTTTTCAAATACATAAAACATATTAAAAAGAACTCTGTTGAGAGCATTTGAATAGAGCTCCCAGAAAACTAATGGAGTAAGTATATTTTGCTAGGAATTTTGTCAGACCCCATTTTGGTTTCAATGTCATATTATTCCTAAATGGCTTTTACCATCTGTTCATTCCAGTAATGCCCAAAATGCTAGATAATATGAAAGTGTGTGTGCGCGTATGTGTGTGTATATGACTTATTTAAAAGGGATATAACAAAAGGCAATTACTTACAAAGAAAAAATGCATTTGGTTTACAATAAAGTAATCTCTGCAAATTTCAGGAGAGCCAAGTTTCTCTTATGAATGCAGACCTTATGAATGTTAAGCAGATTAATGGCACTGTGGGTTCATTTCTTAATACGAGACAACTGTTAGAAGAGAGTGGAAAGTTTTTCTACAAAGAATACAACATTGTTATTCTGTTTGGGGGAGGAAAACATAAAGATATTTGGGGCCTTTTCTTATTGTACAATTTTAGCTTCTAATTCCACATTGACTGCCATGACTGCATCCCAGGGAATCTGAAGCTTTCTAGAACATCTTTAAGTTATCTGTCAATTTATGGCAATGACATACATTTCATTGGGCTTTCTTAAACAAGGAATACTAAAGAGGCAGATTGCCACTTTGCCTTCCTCCAACATATAGTTCATACATGGAACTGTATGTGTTTTAAGGCATTGAATAATTGCCTGTATGTAAGCTGCCTTGAGTCCCCTTCAGGGTAGGGAAAGGTGGGGTATAAATAGAGCAAATAAATAAAAATAAATAAATAGTATCTGGTATTCCTTGGTACATACCCCTTCTAAGTACTTCTAAGTACTAACCAGGCCTAACTCTACTTAGCTTG